TTCGACGACGGCCGGACGAGAGTAACACGGCCCATGACTTTGCGGCCAAGGACGTTGCGGCCAAGGATGTTGCGGCCAAGGACGTTGCGGCCAAGGACGTTGCGGCCAAGGACGTTGCGACTGCGACAGAGGACGGTGTAGAGACAGCGGAGGCGTATATGTGTGCGCTGTGGTATCCGCACAGCCCGGTGGGATACGAGGGCCTGGAAGGGAAGTACACGGGCATTTTGGATGCGATACCGAGTTCTTTGTACGAGCTGCTGAAGGACACGGACTACGTCACAAACGAGTATTTTATGGGTTACTTTGTGTACAGTTATCATTGTGGCTTACGACTTTGGCGGAATGTGCTCAAGTTCCGCCTAATTGATCTTTATAGAAACGATCGTGTGCCGTTGGTTGATATATACATTAGCGGCAACGACGCCAAGTATGAATGGATTTGTCGCAGTGCCGTCATGTTCTGTCACCAATGGCTGTCCGGCGCAGGCCTCGACCAAACGGTGACCAAGCCTCATAATACCCTCAAGCAGTGGTCCCAGCCCACCCCTACGCATATCCCCGCTCCCATTTCCGATCCCGAGTTGGTTGCCTTGCAAGACTGCTTTACTGTCTACAGTCTCGCCCTGGCCGGAGCCTTCGATACACACACTAAACTAAGACAAGAAAAATTGCGGAAAAACGCCCACGCCAGTCAAGACTAACATCTCGAATCAAGACTAACATACACCAGACTCGACCGACCGTTATCGCACCAGTGATTAGAACAAATCGAGACAAATTCATTGTGACGGACAACCGGCGTCTGCTTTGAACGTTTCGATAAATTGATTTGTAATCTGGGTTGCTTCCTTTTCGGAGCGCGCGAGAATACATTCCGGCGTTAGGATAATACGTAGTTTTGTTTCAGGAACGAGTTGGGTACTACTGAATCGAGGCCCTCGGCGTTCCAAGATGACATATACTTGGGCGTAGGAGCTGACACACACACGGTTGCTGATGTGGCTGAGGCGTCTGCGTAGTTGGCGTACCAGGCTGTCGGTTGTGCTGTGAGTAAGTCGGTGCATGGTGAGTAAGTCGTGTAACCGTATGATGCAGCCGTTTCTAAGGTATCTTCCGAGTTGGTGCTTTATCAGCAAGTCATCAGACTCATAACTCAACTTCCAAGGCTTCCAGGTCTGATAGAGACGAGCTGTCATGGTCCTGAGGTTACGCGCGTGAGCGTCTGCCATTACTTGAACCGCAGCCGCTTCTACCACTTCAGGCCAAGTGCGACCATTTTCGGTTCCGTCACTCTCGGCGACACTGCACGCGGACGCTGTGCTAGCCGCTATCGCCCTCGTTCGGAACGGCGTCTTAAGGTTGACCTTAATACGTGGTTGACAGTCCGAACACGCACTACCACTACCACCGGCTTCTTTCACAGCAACCTGATGTCGAGCGTTCAATCCCAGACGAGGCCGGCAAACCCCCCGCCAGTGCTTCCAACCATCTTGGGAATGCAACGTCGCTTTAGGGTACAACGTCGCTTGAGGGTCCCACGCCATATACGCCTCCCGAAACTCCATCTCCATCGCCTCCAGCGTCTTCGACTGCTCCGGCGTTTTCGGCTCCTCCAGGGTCTTCGACTCCTCTAAAATGTTTGAGTCGTAAAAATGGCTCGGGCCATCTGCCGGCTCTTCCTCAAAGGGATTCATGCCTTCGGTCAGTGTTCCTTTAGTCCGTGCTCCTTCCGTGGCGCGGCTAGCATAGCGTTTCCAAAGAGCCGTGACCGCAACGGGGAATTGAGGATCATTCTCGAACGGAGAGGAGACAGAAGTCGCCAAATGTGATAAAACCTGTTCCATTAGACATCCCCGGCCGGCCCGGTTTACATATCCTTGTTTGTACTTGGAATCATCGGGGTCTATTTTGACGTGGATTTGAGTACTGCTTTTAAGGAACTGAATCTGCTCTATCGATTGCAAAATAATTTGCTTGTTATCCCGCAAGTGCAATAAACACTGAAGTCCAATCGTTATGAACGCGAATGGCGTCATGCGGTGTTCCGAGCTCCAGTTTAATCGCACACACCCCCCCAGCACAGCAGGCAGCCCCAACGCCTTGTCCTGACTGGGGGTTCGGGCCGCAGAG